GCCGGAGACTCCAGCAGCTCCACGAACTGCTTCAGCTGTTCCTCGCCAACAAGAATCATCTGTCAAAGCGGGTCATCATCTGCTTTCACACCGCTTTTTTTAGGCCTCTATCTCCTCAGTGCGCGGCATGGTGGCCAGCCTGCTTTCGGCCACAGTACTCCCAGTTCCGTTGACCACCTCTGGCATGGCACCTTGTTGCCAATTCTGCCGCCAGCTCATACCTCTGCAGAATACAAATGTCAGCTGCGTAAATGCGCATGTCCAATGGAGAAGCACCAAGGTCCTGGCCAGTTCATCCAGAAGCTCAGGACAAGCGAGCTGACGGGACAACACCTGAAACACCAAACTCACATGGAGGTAACATTCAGGTTTGCACGTCAACTTTATTGACTGCCGAATTTGAAATGCAAGCGCATCACTTCACCAATTACCGACTGACTTGCTCTTTCATGACGTGCTGAGGTCCTGGCAGCCAAGACTGCATCAGAACCATCCTGACCAGTCGCGGATTGCATCACTTGAGGGGCGAACCGAGGCCAACGAAAGCTAGCCAGGCGCAAGGACTTGAGCGCAACAAGAGGAGGGAAGGGGAGTGGGAGCAAGAAGGACAAACCTCTGGAAGGGGCTTGCGTAGCATCTTCTAAAACCTGTCTCAAGGGCTTCCTCTTTCTTTTCCTCTTTCCAATTTCTACGCCCTCCAGAATCAAGACACCACATTCTGGTCTGCATAGTGCACACTCCCGTATCCACTGTCGACGCCAGCGTCCAATCCAATCTACACCACACTGTCCACTCCACGTCCCAGCCAGTCCACTTTTCAGTACACTTCACACTCCACTCTCCACTCCACTTTCTTCTCCATACTCCACTGCACTGTCCACTTGCCACACCCACTCCCCCATTCTCCAACCCGTGGCCCAAACAGGTTTTGGAGGCCCTACCCTTATTGTAAATTTCGTGGCCCTGGCAAGGTACAATCACCCCAGCTGGAAATGCCCAACATCAGGCACGGGGAGGGGCAATAGCCAGTCAGCATGAGAAGCTTCAAAACAGCCATGAGCAAGCGGTCAGCGCTGCAAGCAATGGCTTTGCTTATTGTGCTCATTGGAGACATGAGTTGGGGCTAGGGGCTGGGCTTTCAACATACTGCAGTACGATGCCACCAAGAAAAATGTACAATGTTAGCGCCCCTCGGTACTTTTTGGCCATCGCGCCAGAATATGTAATCATGGACACCTGGGTACGGGTGGGATCATTGTACATTAGTTGGGTGGGGGCCTCACTGTCCACTTTCCTTGACCCACTCTCCACCTGACTCCCATTCCATGTTCAACCTCTTTACACTCTCCACTCTCCACTCCGCTCTCCACACGCTAGGCTTGAGGCTCCATTCGCCACTTTCCTCACCACTTTCCGGTCCATTTTTCAAGCCACTCTGCGACCGCTTTCCATTCCACTTTCCACCTCACACTCGATTCCACTTCCACCCACTTTCCGCCCCGATGTCCATTCCACCTTCTGCGCCACTCTCCGCTCCACAGTTTGCATGCCACACTCTTCTCCACTCAACTCCCCACTTCGTTCTCCACTCCACTCACTGCATTTCTGTTCCACTCTCCACTCCATTGCCCACTGCATTCGCCATTCCCCTCTCCACCCTATTGTCTGCACCACTGCCCACTTCACTTTCCCACTCCACACCGTTCCGTTCCACTCCGCCTTTTCAATTGCGACCCCAAACGGCCTCGCGCCTGCAAAGGTCCAAAAGCCAAGACTGTTATGAGCATGGCAATCCCAACGATCCCATTCCCGACTGTTGGAACTTATGGCACGAGACGCAGCAACGATGGCCCAAGAGCAACAGCCCTGAACGGCTCCATCCCTGTGACTGTACATGACCATCCAAGAGTGACGAGACTGATGGGAATGGTGGGCTCGATCGGCCCCATCCCCTGTGGCTAAAGATGCGACACGCCACGAAGACATGAACATCCACAAGCAACAACACTTACAAGGATGGCGTTCCTGAGCGGCCCCCTGCCTGTGACCATTGACACTTTTTTAACACGCATCGAAGACACGACCCTCCAAAAGGGACAACTGTTGCAAGGAAGGCTAGATGCACAAGCGAGAAACAAGGAGCAGGGATGCTTGTTCAATCAGAGCCTAATGTCATTTGTAGCACGACCATGCTTGGGTAGGGAAGTGAACGTACAGGCGTGGCAAGGTGTCAAGTGCAGCACGAAGTGGCTTGATCCAAGACCTTGCAAAGGTATGGAACATGACAGAATGAGAGGGAATGTCCATTGCAACCACCCAGCAGGATAATGCACATAGAGTAGTGATCACTACACAGGGGGAAGACTACAGAGAGGAGCAAGGAGGTTTGATGAAACCACCCGCATCATGTCCCTCGCATCATGACGCAGCGTCATGCGACTAGTACCACAACCATGCAACCGCAGTGAATGGTACAGGGAGAGTAGAAAAGTTCAATGTCCACCTGCAACGACGTCATCAGTACTATGAGCATGCAAGGGCAGTGAACACTGCAGAAAGAATAGGGAGGTTTGATGGAGCAACCAAACAAGATCTTGGTAGCGTGACCATACCCTTGGGTACGGAACACGACAGAAAGAATGGGGAGATTGGATGCAGCAACAAAGCACCAGCATATGCGTATAGGGACCATGCAATGCTACCAAACACTACGGAACGCCCGGGGAAGGTTCAATCAAAGCCACCAATATCCGCCGAGCATGATGCTGCTCGTACTTTGACCAAGAATCACTGTGTGGTTACCCGGCAGAGTCAAGAGGTTCGATGCTACTTGATTCATGCTTAAGGAACACTACGGACGACGGAGTGGCACGCAAAAGCCACTAACCCCACAGAGGGAACAAGGGAAATTCTACGCATTGACTTGCTCATAACATGGCCACACAAGAGTAGTGAACACTGCGAGCGAATAGGGAGGTTTTATTCAAACCAACCATCATGTTGTTACCCGCACCACCAACATGAGGCCGTTCGCATCATGACCTTGCTAAAGTAGCGCACACAACAGAAAAAGCAGGGCGGCTCCAACCACGTAAAAGTAGTGAACACTGCAGGGGATGAGTCAGGCTTGATGCAACCAGGAAGCATAACAGGGTTCTTCTCACAACTATGCAAGGGTAGTGAACACTTGTGAACCAGTACGGAATGAGGATGGAGGCCTGATGCAGCAATCAAGCCACCAAGCGTGATGATTTTGGTACAATGAGCATCAAGTGCCCGCACCACTGCTGGAGTACAACAACAAGCAGCACATCAAAGAATAGAACAGAGAGGGTGCTTGCAACAGCAAAGCAAGATTTGCTTGTAGCACGACTGCATGAGGGCAGTGAGGACTACCAACAGAAACGAACCAAAAAAACAGAATGTCACCTGCACCATGACCACAAAAAGGTTACAAAAGAAGTCGGGAGACTTGATGCCACCTCCAGGCATGAGGTTCTTTGCTATCGCCGTGCGCGCTGCTCTGCGCGCATTGCGCGCCTGCCCTGTGCTTCTTCGTCAGGCATGAGGTTGCTGAGTTATCACACAAGGGAAGTGAACACTGCAACAGGAGGAGGGAGGCCACACGCAACGACCAGGCAGGATGTGTCTGGTACGATGAGCATTCAAGAGTAGACACGCCAATAGTGAAGGAGAAGGGAGGCTTTATGCAACCACCTAGCCCAATGTTGTCCCTGCCATGACCGTGCTGGGGCGGGGTGGCGAAAACCACAGGAGTGGCGAGTTGTCATTTGAAGTATGAAGGTGCTGAACAGAATGAGGAAGAAGGTTTAATGCAACTACCGGGCATGCTGTTGCTCGTACCATGACCACGCAAAGGTAGTGGTTGCTACAAAGGATGCAAAGAGGTCTTACGCAACGACCAGCATGGTTTTACTTGTGTCATGATCTTGCAAGGGTCGTGAACACTAACAGAACAGGACAGCAGGGACGTTTGATGAAACCACCAACATTATGTTATTCGTGTCAGGAAATTGCCAGGGCCTGGATCACTACTGAGGAAGTAGGGAGGTTTGATGCACAATCACCAAGCCTGGGGTCACGCGCGGCCTGGGGTCACACGCGCATGCGGTAGTGAACACCACAAGTAAAGTACGAAGATAGATGCGACCACCAAAACCGACGTCATTAGCACCCTGAACATGCGCAAGCCAGTCTACAGAAAGAATAGGGAGGTTTGGTGTAACAACCCTGCATGATCTTGGTATCATGACTGTAAAAGTGTATGGAACACTATCGAAAGAATCGGGAGGTTGGATGCAACAACCAAGTGTGATGAGTACAATGACCCTGCAATGGACGAAACTCTACAGACAGAATTTCGATTTGGAAGCGGAGCAAGCGCAAGTAAGTCAAGCAGCCAATGACCAACATATGAATTCATGAGCAGCTCCCTCCCAAGCTGGGATTCTTGCGAAAAATCAAGACTGACCCCCCTCCCTCCCTCCACCCCACTCCAAAATCAGCAGATACCTATGCAAGAATCAATATTGCCCTCCCACACCCCAATCCTATGAGAGAAGCAATTGTTGGAGGCTTTCCAGACCTGTGTGCAATGTACTGCTAAAGCAAGAGAAATCTCAAGCCAGCAAGCTAGCTTTCGTGCAGCCAGGTAGCGGGAAGCTAGTGGAGGAAACTTGGCCTCTGGCTTCAGAGCGTAGCTGAGCCTTGCGGCCGCATTGCTATGACACGATAGCAGCTTTTACAGCAATACCAGCAACTGCTGGCACTTCATGCCGACAGTCACCGCCCCACTATTGCAAGTGATCGCAACCATCTCCAGCCCTGCCAATTATTCTTAGCATCGGGTACTTGCCAACGTGTTGCTATCAAAATAAGATTTCACTGCGTCATGTGGCATCTACTTCAATCTGCACCGCCACTTTATGCATTCTTGGGTTAGAAGCGCAGCATGCTGGGCTCCCACACTCGGAACTTCTTTGTCTCTGGGCCGGTAAGCAAGCCACGATTAAGGACCTCCAAAACCCCGCAATCCAATGCCTGACAAAAATGTGCTATCCCCATGCCTGCACCAGATGTCGCGCAAAGGCTTTGTCCTTTCGGGGCAGCACCGCAGCTTGGTAGCAAAAGGCTATAGAATCTGGTTTGGACAACTGTTGTGCCCTGGCCTCCATTGTTTCGAGCGTCTTGGCAGCTGTGGCCTGCATAGAAATTGCGAAGACCCTAGAAATCTTGAAGAACTTTACCTTTGCAGTCTTTCTACAGCAGCGAGGAAAGCACCCCGCAGCGCTGCGCATGTGACTGCACAAATGCTTCACTCAGTCATGACGTGTCGCCACCCGGGGTCTTCAAAATATAGCCGAGCACAAGGCAAAGAAGCGCTTGGCGTCAACGCCTAGATTGGTGAGTGTGGTCAGCAATTAGAGTGCAAGAATGGCGCCAGTCATTGCAAGCAAAATGGAAGTAGCAGTGCAAGTTGCTGCCACCGGTACTGACTGGGACTGCGACGCTTGCACACCAAGCGAATGATGAGCTCACCTATGCCTAGGATGTGCAGACAGCAATCAACTTGAGCTCCACAACCTGCAGGAAGCTGTTTTGAGATGCCGGCTTGTCAGCAGATTTTGCTGCCTTTTCATGAGGTCGAAGAGTTTCTGGCACATATCGCCGACCAAATCATCACCTGCTTGTCTGCAGGCTTGCAAACCCTGAGATTCAACTCCTGAGAGCTTAGGCTGCCTTTACCCAGCTTCTCGCCAACTGAAGCGAGTTGCGCCATGAAGCTTAAAGCCGTAGAGGCCACCTCCCCACAAGGCGAAAAGGCTTCACAGCAAATCCGCCAAGCGCTTTCGGTCAGCCTCCTCTTCCTCACGAAGCAAGGCCTGGATCAATTTGTTGGGGGACTCAGAAAACTTTACAATTGCGCAGCCGGAGCGCTCCTTCAGCGCGGCTTCAAAGAGACGGTCGCGGACCTACTGTGCATTCTCACGATAGGCTGACCAAGGCGCACGAGCACAGCCTGCGTTTCCACAACCCGCGCTGGGCACCTGTCTATCAACAGCTATTCTCGAAAGGCAGCAACGACTACTAGTCTGAGGCAACGACTTGTCTAGAAGGAGCTCGACCCAACCTTGGCTTCAATCTTGCAAGCGAGGCAGAAGGGATTCTTGTGCAGCTAACGAGCGCCGAGCCGAAGCATTTAAGCAACACTTCTTTGCTTCGTGCCTCCGGCGAAAAAGATAACGGATCCAATTTTGACCCTAATGCAGGGCACCTGTCCACCGACATCAGACATTGCACTGATGACCGCAGCGGCAATCGGCTCAACTGGCAAGTCACCTTGGCTTTGGCAAGATGCAAGATTGACAGTACCGGAGCAAAACTCTTATGCTAGCTATCCATCTACAGGTCTACAGGAAATGGAGCTGCTAGCTCTCGAGGCTCTGCTCGGCCTGACCTATACACGTGTGCCAAGCTGGAACAGCTTGCAGGAGCACCCTCGGTCTTGATTACTGCCCTGCGACAGGGGACTGGCACAGGAGCTGGTGCAAGTCCCGGGCAGCAAGAATGAGGGACCGCGTGTGCAGAAACCGGCTCTGGTGTTCACTTGTGCTGCTGGCATCGATTTTCGATTTATTGCTATGCTTTCTTCAACGCATGCTTTCACCTGGTAAGCAACGTGCTCACCAACCGGTGCTTGCTTCGTTGGTACATTTATTGTCTGATTAGAGAGGAGTCCGTGAGACATCCTCGGCATCTTGAGGGTCCCCTTTTTCAGGCTTTCCGATCCGGCACTGTGCTGAAAACTGTTGCCTAAACCTCCACGATAGCTTGTAGGAAGGGGCTAGCATTCACGACAAGCACTTGTAGGCTTCCTTTGGCAAGAAACCTCCAAAAGGCGCGCACTGCTGTTGCGCAAGCTGCCAGCTCAAGTCCCCCAAAGCATGCATATCTCAACTCAGGGTGCCTGAACACCACTGCTCCACTCGATTGAGTTCCCGACTCTCCAGCTTTAAGGCTTCCTGTAGGAGCAGGGCATTGGCCTCGCCACGGAACGAAATAACACCACCAGCACTTGCAAGGATTTGCTCGCTTGGACACTCTTGTTGATTGATGATTGGAGCCTTCCCGGACCAGATTCCGACATGTCGGGCAGAGCATGTAAAACAGAAGCACCTGCCTGTTCAGCCTCCTTTTGGATAGTGCGCTCGCCGTCATCCAAGCAATATAATGCCTGGCCAGTATTTTAGGAAAGGTCTTAGCTGGCACAGGCACTGAAAGCAAGTCAAAACTCGACTGCAGCGCCCCTGGCAGGAGCTCTGGAATCAATTGTCGCAAGCCTGGCAGGCGGTGGTGCCAACAGAATGGAGTCACACTTCAGTTTGGAGACCCCTGAATTTGCTGGAAGAGGCAGGCCTCCCTGCGAGCCAGCGCTGGCTCCTTCAGGCAAGTAAATACGGCCAGGTTGGCATCAAAATTGCCCTGACCCATACTGACGGTTGATTCCAGCAAGCACGCATGTCATGGATCAAGCCTTCGGGCAAGACGCCGGGTGCCTCGCTTCTTTTGGACGGCATCCTTGGTCACAACCCAAGCAATATGGCATGGAATTACAACACATCCTGGTGCAACATGCTGCTGCCGAGCATTTTAATGCACTTGGATTATGCTCCCCATTGTGGCAGAAGGTTAAAAGCAACCTCACCACTGGAAGACGTCCGGTCTGGACATACAACATAAGGGGCACAATAAAGAGACATGTTTGAGATTCCCTGCTTCACGCGGATGTTTAAACCGACTATGGTCGAGGGCAGAGCCAAGCAGGCATCGATCTTTGCGACGCTTCACCTGCGCTGGCATCTAGCTTTGCATACGAATATGACTGTTTAAGGTTGGACTGATTTCTGGTAGAGCTTCACTCATGCGCTGTGCAACCACTCCACCTACACGGAACAGAAACTTCGTGAGCAACATGCGTTACTGATCATCAGTGCAGGTGCCTGAATTTTGAAAAGAGATTGCTCCGCTCTCCAGGTCAACCTGCAGAGCAGGCAGCTAGAGTCCCGGTGCAATGCATTTAACCTGCACAACAGACCAGTCTGTCTTGATATCGAAAGTGATTGCAAGTCGTACCAGCAATTGCTAGGTGGGGAAGATTTTCCTTGCCTGAAGCTTGACGGATTCCAGCAGCCAATGCAGGGCCGTCATCCTGTTTACATTCCCTTGGTAACAATTCGAGCCAGGCCGGGTCCTTGGAACCTGGAAGCCTGAGATGCGGGCCGCACGTTGGCGTCCTGATGACATCCATACATTGGGAAATCTGGGGAATAGCCATGCGCAAGCCAAGGACATTGTCAGCTTGACGATGCAGTCATCAACTTCCTTATAGAAACTGCAAAAGCTGTGTGCCCTTTGCCAAACCGATTGCTTAGTCTTCTTGCCAGTCATCCTTTCACCTGCACTGTGGACTTCAACCAGCTTAGCATCAAGTGACCGTTAGGCAGTCAAACCTGCCATTGGCGAAGCCCTTTACAAACATCGCGGAGACCGCTCTTACACGGTCTGACCCCAACAAGATTGTAGCTGCAAAGAGGTCAAGAAAAGCTGACATCCAAGGACGCATGTATTTGTTAAGGCTTTGTACAGGTCTTCTGGAGTGAAAGAACATGAAGCAATGCCGCTGAATCTGCAAGTTCCGACGAAGAAGCTGAAAGAACCACAAGGCTCGAAAACGATGCTTGAAACACAATTGAAACTGCCACCTCCAGCTTGCACATCGTTTCCCTCGCCTTGATGCAAGATCTGACTAGAGACGCTCCAACACTTCCATGTTCAAGCGGACTGGTTCTTGTCAATGGCAAGGGTGGGCTCATCATGCTAGCAACGAGTGGGGGGATGGATGCTACATGGAGCCGAGAACTTTTCTGACGGCCGCGCACAAGATTTTCAAGAGCAGGGACTCGACTGCTCACACACTACACTGCAGATTCTGCTCAGCAGAATTGCAGAACCAGCCAGCTTTGGGCATGCGTAGATTTCATGCATCTCTGGTGTCACAGGCCAGCACCGACCCGCCAATGTCATTGAAAAGCGTGAGCTAGAGTCGCAGGAGAACACGGGTGTCGTGGCCTGTCAGATGTCAAACATCCTAGAACGTGACCTTTCGGGCCTGATGCTCTTTCCTGATGCTGGGCCTCTGATCCCTTGGTCTCTGTCTTGGGTGCGACATGTCCAGCAGAGCCAGTAGAGCAACACAAGTAGGACCAGCACAAGGAGGGCCTGGCAACAGATGGTTAAAACAGGTTTGCTTTGAAATGCTTTGCTGTTTAAACTCAGCCATGCTGAGGCCCCAACTGCGCCATATAGAGTCACTCTGGATAGGCGTGACATATGGCTAAACGAATGCCACCAGTGAACTTCTCCTGCAAGGCACGACTGGCACACATGGCACAGAAACCAGAACCTAGTCACACACAATTATTGGAACAGTTGCATGCATCACGGCGCTGGCCTGGAGGAGCAAAAAGGGGAATTCCAAACATTGCTGTGGCTGTTGTGGTTGTGAAGGTGGCAGACGTTTGGGTCAATGAAGATGAAGTTTGAGTTATTACTGTTGTGGATGCTGTGATGCTAAAGCTCGTTGTAGATGTCGCAGTCCAGGACTTCGAGGTGGTGGCTGTTGCAGTTGCCGTTGTGTGAGTCATTGTGCTCACGGTTATACTGGTAGTTGAAGTGCTGGAAGTTGCCAACTGCAAGTCGCACTCATCCAAAGCCACAAAAGCAAACAGGAACATCCGTGCCACATTTGCGGGCGCTTCGGATCCAAAGGCCAACTGGATCTCCGTAACATTTCCTCAGCCAACACAAAACCTCTCCATACCTCTCCTACTGTATTGCGGGTGAACAATTAACTGCCAGGCTGCTGTAGACGAGTGTTACCGCCTTCCGCAACTGACTGGGCGTGAGCTCGCGGACATAGGTAGGATTGTCCGGGCCTAAATCAGGCCCTTCTCCATCCTTGCTGCCGTCATGACTTCAACGAAACAAGTGCGGCTCTGGAGCATGTATTATTCCCCCTGATTTGATGATCCAGCTGGGACCAGGAATTGCTATATTACTTCAGTCAGATATTTGCGACTGCTACCTTTGCCAAGCTGCATCACGGGCACCCTTCTGCCAGTACTCGGCCGCACCATCCTTGATGACAAAATCCATATCTGTGTCTTGCGACCAATATGCCCAATGATGCCCATATGCCCTGGCAAACTCCCTCACAGAGTTCGTTGAGTCTGCCTCCAGGTCGCAGAGGAAGACCGGAAAAAGGTTCAAACGAATAGGTGTGTCTGCAACATCCCAAAATTGAAGGCGTGCCCGGAGTACCTCCCCACCGAACTGGTTGACAGAAACGAACTCTCCATCCAAGCCATTCCATTCAGGGTTTGCCGGCTGATATGGGCTTAAGGCATGCATGGATATCTTCAGGTCCCGTGTGTCGACTCCATGCAACCGCTGACTCACCAGGAGAACGAGGCCCTCCTCACCACCATCAGGTCCTTTGCCTGCTAGATTATTGTGTAGAACAGCTTTGATGGGATAACTTTGACCCCCTTGACGGCAACTGGTAGACGACGCGCGCAAAGGTCCACGTGTAGCTTTCGCAGCAAGCTCGTTCAAGCTTACTTTCGATTGATGACTTGGCGCCCTCGGCACTGCAAGCGCCCATGCTGCGTGTTTATTTGATGCTTTGGGGATTGGGTGCTGAGAGAAGTGATCACTGAAAACTGAGCTGCAGGCACCTCACGCTGATGGACCGCAAGCACTGTTACCACCAAGGTGAGAACCACTAAGAACACGACAGCGGTAACAGTCCTTCAGAGTCTATGAGTGCACAGTCGGGCTTCCGCATGATGATGTGGGTTTTTGCAAGCGCTCAAAGGAAGGGTAATGACTTGCAGGGAGGAAGTCAGCTTTCGCTCCTCCTGATTGAAAGCTGGACTGTGCTACTAGGGTGCCGAAAGGTTCAAGAAAGTCTTCCGACATGCTGTCCAGGAGCTGGCACACGAACCTCCATGACAGCGGAAACCGGGCTGGTGCCGGTTGATCCCCATCTGCCCCGACTTGCTGCAAACTCCGGCCCGCATCTTGTCCTAAGGTGTGCGTTCTGTGCCTCGCAACAGCAAACACTGACTTGGACAGAACCAACTCAGTGTAGATCCAAGGCGCTTGATATCAGAGACTGCTGCTCTTCAGCAGTTTCCCTTGTTTCTGCCATGCCGTCCGCACCTTGCAGCTGCAAAAAGCTATCAGCCCATATCAAAACACCAACATCCCTGCCTGTTTGCCATCGGCATGTGAATCCATGCAAACCACTTTTGAAAGCGGCTTTGGCTGTGGCTCAGCGGTACATATCTGCTGGCTTGCTGATGATTTGACGAAAGTGAATGTTTGTCAGACTGCAACTATCTCGTGCAAAGCTACACAGTCGAGGAGGTGACAGACAGGTGTTTGCATCAAAAGGCGCCATGTCAAGCACCCACCGTGCAGATGCGTTCTACGGATCAGTCATGCGGCATGTTGGCACAGCCTGGACTAACCCAAAGCAGGGCAGATTAGCTAAATCTAGTGCGCGTCCTCCGAGCGCTGCTCGCCTCCAGCACGGCAGCAGCGCGCTACCGTTGCAGCGGCCTCTGACAAATTACGAAGGAATTAGCATGAGATAGCATCTTGGAGAAAATCCTGCCTCGGCTATTGCTTGCTGTGTCCGCTCTGGACGATCTGATGCAGAACGCCGAAGGTGGTCCAACAGGCTCTCCAGACACTCCTGTGCCTGCGCAGCATGTGCACATGAAACTTGGCATCCCTAGCAGATCCAGCCATCATCCCGACCTTAAGACGGAAATCACGGCTCTCACCAGCAAGGATGCCAAAAAGCCCCTCAAGATAGTGAGGCAGGAAAGAGATCATGTCCACCTGCAAAGCATCGACGCGTGGCAGAGTACATCATGCTAGGCAGCATGTTGACTGCTACCTTGCAGCTTCTGACCTGTGGCAACGAGTCCAACAGGACAATCCATCCAAGGACCAGTTGACGCACCTCTGCAGAAACAAGCGCCATTCAACCACACCAACTTTGACTGGAGACACAGCCGTGGCTGCAGGGCAACTAATCAGCGTGAAGGTTTCGGAGAATCAAGCAACGCTCGGGCGGTGCGAAAACGTGCGCCCACCAATGCATAGGCTTGAAGATTTCCAATCATGAATGCTGGCAGGCTTGGGAGATCGCGCAAAATGTTTTTGCAAGCGGCTGATTCACTCATACAGTCACTTGTCATGCTGCTGGAGAACAGAGAAAATCTTGGAAGTCCAGCCCGACTGTCCTCTTTTGGATGCTCGCGAATGCAGCTGCACTGGTAAATGAACATGATTGTCCAACCCAACATGGATGCTCGTCAATGTAAATCCACTTGTAGGTGAGCGTGATTATCCTGCCCAGCCTTTCGCGAATGCCAATGCACTGGGCAATGATCGTGCTTGTCTAGCAAGGTCTAGCATGGATGCTCGCAAAGGCTGATGCACTGCTCAATGAACGTGAGCATCTTGCCCAACATGTACGCCCCACAAGGGCTGTTGCTGATATTCTTGTTCCTGGGACTGACCTTGATTCGGTTCCCCCTGCGTGCAACAGTCAGGTCATTGCAACAAATTGACTGAAATTTAGTCTATGTCATCGTGGATTTTTCTTAGGGAATCAACATACATGGAAAGAAGTCTTGCGATAAACATGGATTGCCCACCCCTGCAGGGCTGCGGCATACATGGACGACAGTTACACAGCACGCTGCTCGCGCGGAGATAGCACGATCTACTGAAAGTTCTGTGGCAAATCAAATTTCCTGGCCATCTCGAAGTCTCCCTCTTGCCGATTATCTGGGCCTCTCAGCAATCCAACCAGGTACAAGTGTCCATGGTTAAGCTGGACGCTCGCAGGGTACCAACTGCTGGAACGCAATAACCTACCGCGGATCTAACCCAAATCTAGCGCCTCCCTGCGGAAAATGCGTTTTGCCCTGCATGTTGCCTCATAGCGAAGAAGGCAATCAGACCCCACAATAAGATTCACTCTCTGTTTGTACGATCTTCCTTCAGAGGTGTTTTGAACATTGCCCACATGAGCGTGATTATCTTGCCCAACATGGATGCTCGCGCATGCAGATGCACTGGTACATGAACGTGAATAGATTGCCCAACATGAATGCTCGTCAATGCGAATGCACTGGTACATGAATGTATTTGTCTTGCCCAACACGGATGCTCGCGAAGGTGGATACAATGGTAAATGAACCTGATTAAATCATCTTGGCCGGCATTGATGCTCGTGAAGACGGATGCACTCATAAATGGACGGTCTTATGTGAGACCAGAGGCGGTAAACCTTGCCAGCGAGCGGAATGAAAATGAAGCCTTCTGCTGTGGCAGGCAGAAGGTGGGCAGCAGCAGTGTTTTCGCGCGTTTGCGTCCCACCCGAGCCTCAAGCCAAGCTTCCTGGCAGAATCGCACTCCCAAATGTTGCTGAGGTGCGTTTTGATTGTGAATATGGATTCTGCACGTAATCAAGGGAATCAGCCTTGGTGTCGTAATGACCAAGAAAATTATTCCACTTCCATACATTTAGCATGCATCGGATGCATCTCGGTCCACAACTCAAACAGTCTTCTGCTTCAGAGCCGGGCAGCGCTGCGAAGTCAAAGTCACGCTGCTCCATGACAATGTCACGGATCAGTCTGTCCAAGCTGTAGGCTCCCTCCCTGATGGTCTGGTCGACATCTGTGTACAGCCTACGCATCTGCTGAGCACAGACGAAGCGCAAAGCTGCGACTGCAGTTTACATTGCGTATGCAAAGCCTTGCATCATCCCATCACGATACTCCCAACTGCCAATTTTCCCTGACCTGAACAGATTTCAACCCCTCTGCCTGCAGAGACCATCGAAGATGGCACTGACATTGCGAAGAATTCCGGCCCGGATCACTTTGGCAATGTTGTAGAAAGCTTCGCAAGCCTTGTATCTGACGGAAGGGTCCTGGAAGAATTGTGATCACTGGAAGTCCCTAGCAAGGCCAAGGAGTCGCACGTCCTCGTCTGAGAAGCAAACAAGGACCGGATCTGTCAGTGACTCAGCATGCTGCTGTGCCCGGTCCTGGAAGCAAACAATCAAAAAAGCGTTCAACCTGTTTGCCAACATGGTATGTCAGAGACAGCTGGAACCTTCTCCAGAGCAAAGGTCACAATACTCAAGGCGATAAGACCGGCGATCCGATGGTTTGGCCTTCGGCGGAGAAAACAACATTGCCATCTCTGATGCCCTAAAGCATGATCAACCCCATGAGGAAAGCACCAAGCACTTCTGCAGAAGTCCTTCCCACCATCGACTCAGCACTGTCATTAGAAGATGCTTACGTGCAAGCTACTACTTCGGTGTAGCTGGTCCTTTCACGCATTCACAGCTGCAGTCCTCAACAATATATGCAATCAGCCGCGTAACTTTGGCACTGATGCCAACGTTGGCTCCAGCCTGCACAACCACACAAAGGCAGTCGCAGTGCTGTAACACAATTCTTGGTGCTCTTGGAGTAACCGTCTAACCCAATGATTCTGGACTCAAACTCCTCGCAATTTCATGGCCCTTGACGGCTCTCAACCTGCCTGCCCCAGGAAATTGCGAAGGTTGTCAAACATGTCTTTTTCTGCCTGGCATTCTGCTAATCTCAACAAATCTCTGGAGCGGCTAAGACACGCTAATGTCAACTTCAAGTTGAAAACACGTGAACTCCGCCGCTGACACAAAGCAAAGCCTATCGAATCCATTCACTGAAATGGCTGCAGTAAAGGCTGCAGTGGAGATGCCTTTTTCGATTTCTTGTCATCTTTATCGCCCAGGTTGACAAGAATGCCTGAGCAGCCCACGGGATCTGTGCAAAACCGCTGTGCTAGACAAAGAGACTGATCAAGCAAAGTGACTTGACACAAGAAGTTCCCCCCGCAAGGCTTCATCTGCCATGGCAGGGTGGCCCCTCTGACAAAGGCTCCCGTAGGGCTGCTAACATTCGATGACATCCCCATTACATGCTTGTGTTTCAACTTTTCGTGACCAGCGCGTTTTCGGCACCTGAGCCCAGAAGCGCTGGGACATGCAGCCTCCTCACACCAAGCCAGCATGCAACGTCTCAAGTTTTCCAAGCGGTCCTCCTTAACTGGTCTGTCTGCAATTCTACAATTGCAGCCGAATTCTGGTCTTTGCCCAACGAATAGCATGTGCATGTACTCGCATGCAGCATCACATCTTCACCCATTCATGGGTGCAGGCCGGTTGAAAAGAGCCCAACACGCCCGAGATGTAAAGCCTTCTGTGTGTCTGTGGCCTGTCTCTGGCCTTGATTTCGGGTCCTCCGAGGGGTGCTGGCCCGGCTCCACGCCTGGAGACGATCGCAAGCCAAGCCGCTCTGCGTCGCAGGATCCAGGATGCAAAAGTGGCGCCACTTGGCAGCTTGACCACGTCAAACACCACCACCAAAGAGTTGGGCATGCTAGTCGTGACTCCTAAAAAGATGTGCTAGTCCTGGCTCCTTTGCTTTAAATGAAAGGTGAAACGTAAACGTATCTCCACTAAAGCTGTCCCAAGCGTCTGGCGTCCACAAACAACTCTTCCTAAAAGAAAGCATTCTGCCAGGCCAGATGCTGGGGAGTGCCTCTTTCACGGACCTGAGGAACTAACTCACTGATTAAATCTCTGCCTTGGGGTAGAGCTGAGCTAACAAAATGCAACGTTTTGTCTCATGACTGCGCAGTTCTGAACTTTTTCCAAGATGCTTCTGCTCGCAAGCTGCGGTCACCGTGCCGACGCGGCAGCCTCGGAGGCCAGCGAGGCAGCCTGGGCATGGCAGGTTGGTCTAGGCCTGCTTTAGGGTATATGAGTGTATAGGGGGTTTACGGTTCAGAGTTTAGGGATTTGTGGCGAGAGTTGCCCAAGGTGATCAGAAACGTGTAATCCCTACGGTGCAATGCCTACGAGCCTTCCCAGAACTTCAATACACCAGAACTGCGAAACTTCTCGCACGACCGCCTGCAACAACCACATTATCCCCTGCAAATTTAGAAATGGGATTCCTTTCCCCGCCTTGGAAACTCCGTCAACCCCGGTTGAGGAATCCCCCGCCCCCTGCATGCATCTGGTTCTGAAGGACGTTTGGATGTTTGATGAGAACGATTTTTCTTTGAAAGGTTCAAGAACCAGGAACATGGACAAATCGGCACCCCCAATGATTGGCCAAATGGCCTGGCCATCACGAGCATCAGTGGGAGCCTGTTTCTTCTTATTCAGGTTTTTACGATGCCCTTGTGCGCATGCGTCATGCGGCCTAGGAGGGCCCAATGACAGCTTTGCAGATGCTATCCTGGTTAGATTTCTATGTGAGGTTTATGTGGCGCCTTCATGCTTTTACATGAAAGTTTGATGAGCCTTCGAGCTCACGATGCTTCTTGCAGGTTTTGTGGGTTTTGATCATGCTTTTGGGGTCAAGGGCCTCAGGTGGTTCGTGACGATTCCATGACGGCTTTGTGCGGGCAGCTTTTGGGGGCATTCTGTCAATGTTATTGTATTTAAGCCAATCCGAAGCTGTGGGGGGGGGGGTCGTTGGGGGGCTTGGGTGACTGAAAAGGCTTCAGCAGCATTCCATGAATTTCGTTTCCTGTGCAAAACCATCAGCAAGTTTTCGTGCTGTTTTGGGGGCTGCAACCCTTGAAAGGCTATGAAAATGGATGTGCTGGGGAGGGACTTGTTGGAGTGTTGCCCTAAGATGACTACTGCGACGACTACTGCCATGACCACTACTGTACAGCGACCACTACTGACCACGACAACTACCACGACCACGACACCTACCCCTGCTACAACAACTATTATTAGTACTGCGACTATTACTATTACTATTGCGGGGAATGAAAAGGGGAGGTTTACGGAGGAATCCCGATATACTGGCAGGGCCAATGATTTTGCTCTCCAGCCGGCTTTCAGGTTTTGGAACTTCAGGCCTTCTGTTCAGTCTCCAAATCTCGAAAACGCTGGCAGGGCCAATGGATTTGCAGTTTTTTTTAATTGGACGAATTATGGTTTTTGAGCCTTGGAGGCCTGCAAACTTACCGAGAGGAGCCTAAACCCTAAGAGGCCCTAATCCCTAAAAACCCCTAACCCCTAAAAACCACAAACCCTCCTCAAAACCATAAACCCTGAAAACCGGAAAATCCCCAAACCCTAAAAACTTTAAAAACTCAAAAAACGTTTAAAAAATAAAACCTTAAAACAACCGAAACCCTAAAAACCCTAAACCCTAAAAATGCTAAACCTAATAAAAATCATTGAAAACCAATGAAAAAACCTAAACAACCCAAACCCTAAAAACCCTAAACCCTAAAAAACCTAAACCCACAAAAACACTAAACCCTAAAAACACTAAGAACCCTAAACCCTAAAACCCCAAACCCTAAAACCCTAAACCCTAAAAACCCTAAACCCCAAAAAACCCTAAACCTTAAAAACGATAACCCTAAACCCTAAAAACCCTAAAAACCCTAAACCCTGAAACGACTAAAAATCCTAAAAAACCTTGAACTGTAAAAACCAATAAAAAAAGAATATAAAAAAATCAAACCCTAAACCCGAAGACCTAAAAACCACCTAAACATTAAAAACCTTAAAAACCCAAAAAAACGCTAAACCCTAAAACCCTAAACCTAAAAACCGTGAACACTAAAAACCGTAAACCCTAAAACTTTTATGAACCCTAAAAACCCTCACAACATTAAAAACTTTAAAACCCCTCGCCCTAAACCCTAAAAACCCTAAACCCTAAAAACCATAAACCTTGAACAACTTTAAAAACTCACTACAAATGCTAAAAAGCCGGTCAAAAAATTAAAGCCACCTAAACCCTAAAAAGTCTAAACTCTAAAAACTTAAAAGCCTACTAAAAACTCAAGACGAATATTGTCATTTTCTAGTATTAGTACTGGTAATGGCAATAGTGATAGTTGTAATGAAAGTATTAGTTTGAGGAAAACTAAGACTAATAGTACTAGAGAAAGCATATATAGTAACAGTACGCGCAAACGTGTAGGTTCACCCAGACTTGAGCTGTGTTTACTGTCAATTTCGGGTTTGGGTTTTCAGGGTTTAAGGTTTTTAGGGTTTTTAAGGCTTTTAAGGCTTTTAGGGTTTAACGTTTTCAGGGTTTAGGCGGCTTTAAAGTTTTTAGTTGGTTTTCAAAGATTTTTAAGGTTTGTGGTTTTCAAGGTTTAGGGATTTGAGGGTTTAGGTGGCTTTGATTTTTTTTACTGGCTATTTAGCGATTGTACTGAATTTTGAAAGTTTTTGAGGTTTGTGGTTTTTAGAGTTTAAGGTTTTTAGGGTTTAGGGTGTTTATGGTTTAGGGTTCTTAAAGTTTTTAATGTTTTTATGGTTTACACGGTTTTACGGTTTAGGGTTTTTAGGGTTTTTAAGGTTTAGGGTTTTTAGGGTTTTTAAGGTTTAGGGCTTTAGGGTTTAAAGTTTTCGGTTTTTTCAAGTCTTTAACGCGTAGGCGGTTTTTAGGTCTTAGGGTTTTTAGGGTTTAGGCGGCCTTAGAGTTTTTAGTTTGTTTTTGAGATTTTTAGAATTTAATGTTTTTTAGGTTTAAGTGGCCTTAATATTTTTACTGGCTTTTGAGCATTTGAAATTAGTTTTCAATTTTTTCAGGTTTATGGTTTTTAGGGTTTAAGGTTTTTAGGGTTTAGGGTGTTTATGGTTTAGGGTTTCAAAGTTTTCAATATTTTTAGGGTTTACAAGGTTTTAAGGTCTAGGGTTTTTAGGGTTTAGGGTTTTTAGGTTTAAGGTTTTAGGGTTTCAGGGTTTTTCGTGTTTTTAATTTTTTTTAATGTTTAGGTGGTTTTCAGGTCTTTTTGTTGTTGTTGTTGTTGTTGTTTTTTGCCGGGCCGCGCTCCTTTTCTATCCGATGGCAGAAACGGCTGGATTCAGCCAAGCACGGAAATGCTGAGTTGCGTCCCTGCGCGTGCTTCTCCGGCAATCTCCATATTTTCTTAGCAGCAAACTACAAAGCCGGCTCACGCTTACGAGAACTCGAGGAAGCTGACGTATCTGTCTTAAGGTTTTCAGGATTCAGGGTTTTAAGTGTTGTTATCTTTTAATTGTTTTTACGGTGCAAGGTTTTTAGGTCATTTAATTGTTTTAAGGTTTAAAGTTTTTAATGTTTTTAGGGTTTAGGTTTATCGTTTTTAAGGTTTAGGGTTTTGGGTGTTTAGGATTTTTAGGGTTTAAGGTTTTAGGGTTTAAGGTTTTAGGGCTTAGGGTTCTTAATGTTTTTAAGGTTTAAAGCTTTTTGGGGTTTAGGCTTTTTAGGGTTTCGCAATTTTGGGTTTAGGGCTTAGGTTTTTTAATTGGTTTTCAGGATTTTTAGGTTTAGTGTTTTTAGGGTTGAAGGTTTTTAGGGTTTAGGTTGTTTTGAGGTTTGTATTTAAAATTTCTATTGAATCCTCAAGGTTTTAAAGATTTCGGGCTTTTAGGGTTTTGTGTTTTAAGGTTTACGGTTTTTAGGGTGTATGGTTTTTAGGAGGGTTTGTGGTTTTTAGGGCTTAGGGGTTTTCAGGGATTAGGGCCTCTTAGGGTTTAGGCTCTTCTCGGTAAGTTTGCAGGCCTCCAAGACTCAAAAACCCTAAAAATCCTGATTCGTCCACAACCTTAAAAAACTGCTGGTTTTTAGGGTTTAAGGTTTTTAGGCGGCTTTAGAGTTTTTAGGGTTAAGGGTTATCGTTTTTAAGGTTTAAGGTTTTTTGGGGTTGAAGGTTTTTAGGGTTGAGGGTTTTTAGGGTTGAGGGTTTTTAGGGTTTTAGGGTTTTAGGGTTTAGGGTTTTTAGGCTTCAGTGTTTTTTGGGTTTAGGGTTTTTCGGGTTCAGTGATCTTAAGGTTTAGATGGTTTTTAGGTTTTTGTACTTGGCTTTCAGGATTTTTAGGGTTTAATGTTTTTAGGGTTTATGGTTTTTAGGGTTTAGGTTTCTTTATAGTGATTAATTGCTTTCAGAAATTTGTATTGAGTTTTTAAAGTTGTTAAGGCTTAGGTTTTTTCTTTATAACCACAGTGAGAGTCAAGTCTACGAATAGCATTGTACATGACTCCAGTCAACATCCAACAGGCAATACAAGGAACTTGCTCCTTCGCTTTACACTATACTCTACAACAAGTTCTCACTAAAAAGTCAGCTCAATGGAGGAAAACAGGCTCTTCCAGCTGTAGATCTCCACATCACACAGGTGCCACAGGGACCCATCGCATCGCGCAAATTGCTTCTTCAACTTTGCGCAGTGCAGGCCTGCATGCATCACTGGCTCGCGCGGGGCATGTGTAACAGGAGCGACCAATCCACAGCGAATGTCGCCACATTCCCGAAGATGGACACCCATTGGCAGTCATCCACAGCAATCCCACTTAGTCACGAAGCGTGGTGGCCGACAAGTCGGCAACACCTGTTTGGAGAGCTTGTCTGCAAGACAGCGGTCCCTGCGTTGCACACTATACACTGTACAACCAATCTCACTAAACGGTAAGCTCAGTGGACGAAAGCTTTTTGGGCACTTCCAGCTGAAGATCTCCACAGTAAACAGGTACTA